CGCACATTAATCAGCACGAGTGCAATAACAGTTCATTTTACAGCTTGTTAATGTTAATTAGGTATAATTATTGTTTATATATTTATGATGTACTTGTCATTATAACAACAATAGCAATTGATTAATGTAGTTATAATGAGTTCATCTCTAGACGAATCGGGCAAAGGTTAAAACCGACTGGATATTAACATACAAAACAATTAAATATATTGGACCCGAATATTACGAATTATATCGGCATGCGATACGGTTGTTAAGCAACTCTCGCAGGCGTTAAGGCGTTGGTCCAAGACGTATCTCCTGTCGTTAACACCCACCAAACCGCACTGGGCCAGCGTGATCGGTCACGGCCCATTCTCCGTATTCCATTCCATCCCACTGAACACTGAATAGCATATACACACATTTGTGTTACATCAAAATTATGCTGTAATTACCGCCTACTGTGTAATAAACTATGTACATGTGTATGTTTAAACATGTAAGTGGTGCGTTACCAATATGTAGGTACATGAATATTAACGTAAATAGGTAGGTACCGTGTCAGTGCGTGCGTACATTTTATCTGTACTGATAATGACACATATATATACCATAATGTATAATTTATTTTGACAAAAAATAATTTATTTTAAACAAAAAAAAAGCAGTGATCTTGACCTTATCTGATGTGATGACACAATATCGCATCGCCATTTATAATGTCGTTAGGGTCGATTAACAAGTTTATTATAAACTTGAATATATGCATATAAATTTTAGTATCGAACATTTATGTAAATCTAAAATGACGGTTGCCCTAACGTATGTACATACTTACTGATTTAAAGAGACAACGCATAGTCTAAACTAAACTGTTGGTCGTAGGGACTTGAGGAGAGAACTTACTACATAAAACCGGTGAAACCGTTTGTATGAAAGTTCTTTATTTCTGAACTTATAGCGATGAAAATTGGCATTAAAGTACATACCTACACAATTTTAATTAAAAATTACTTACTTGAGTACAACTTAAATTTAGGAACATGATCTAGTGCAAGTAACAGCTGATAATATTATGATTTATTTTTCTCGTCTTATTGATGTAGCTATTTCTTTTTTGTTAATATAATTGTTCCAATTCCATCTCGAGCACTTGGTCCTGGTTAATTTTTATTTAATAAAATACTACAAATATTATAAATGTGAGTTTCTTTATTTGGATGTTTGTCCGTCAATCACACCGGAACTACTGAACGGATTTTGATGAAATTTCAGTATACAGATAGAGTAGTAGCTGACTTAAGACTTTTTATCTCACTAAACATTTCCCTAAGGACTACGCGGGCGAAGCCGCTGGCGAAAGCTAGTATTAATATATTTTTATCTGCGTCATATATTTAATAAAAATCGATGAAGTATAATAATTACTAACAATATTTCTGATATAGTTGCAGGCACTGGACTTATATATGGTTGAAATTAATACCATATGTTTAAGAAATGATTTTGAAAGTATAAGATATGCTGATCCGAGCAAAATAGCTATCTACATTCAATGTGAATGTAACCTTATATTTCTTAGAACGGCGAAGTGGGACCTTGTTAAGATAGCTAATATATTGATAAGCTCTATAACTTTATGTATACATATATTCATGACTACTCTAACTACTGGAAGGTTGCGGTGGGCAAGGAGTGAGTGAACAATTTTTGAAATAATTTTGTGCTCGGAATAAAATCGGAATTCTGGATATCTCATTTGAACGAATAATAGATATAGATTGTATGTTTATTGCAACAGAGGACTGAACAGATATGTTTTTTTCACATTATTATGTTTTAACCATGCTTTTGGTGTATTCGACAAATAAGTATAATAAAACTAAAAAGAGTTTGTTTAAAAATAATGAAGATTATATAAAAGTACCGCAGGGTACAGATAATAACTACATTAAAGCTTTCTGTTTCAGGAACATTTGGAAGATAGTAGCGTTTTGTTGGAGCTAGCTTTAGTCAATTAGGCGAAATTATACATGAGCTGTTGAAAAAAAACAGGTGCATGTGTCACACGTGTCGATAATCAAAAATCATCAAATATTACAAATAGTTAGTGACAGTCGAGTTCATTGAGTTACTTTCTCATGTGGGTCATCAACGTAAAACGACAAAGTGTACAACTAGTGCGCTCTTACAGTTGACGAATGCAAAACTAACTATACAAATATTTATTGTTTTTCAATTTAGTAGGTAACAAAAATATTTATATTAAATGTTCAATAAAAAACTCCTGCCTTTACTCCATTTGTGTTTAGTCAATTCTCTGGTTGTGATGTTGAGGGAACCATTCGTGCCATAGACTCTAAAGCACTTGGTAACGACAATATTGGCCGTAACATGATTCTTCCTTTGGTTGACATTCTAACGCCTATTATAACTATAATCCTCAACAAATCCATTGCTTCTAGTACTTTTCCAAGTATATGGAAGGAAGCTCAGATAATTCCTCTCCCTAAAAAATCCAATCCAGTTACGATGTCTGATTTCCGACCTATTTCCATACTTCCTTTCCTGTCCAAGGTCCTAGAGCGTCTAATTAACAGACAGTTAAGTGTATTTCTAAATAAAAATAACCTATTAAATCCTTTCCAATCCGGTTTTCGTCCCGGTCACAGTACAGCGAGTGCCTTAGTTAAAATCGGCGACGACATTCGCTCTGGTATGGAGAAGCGCAAGCTTACAGTATTAACATTACTTGATTTTAGTAATGCTTTTAATAATGTTGATTTTGACATACTGTTAAGCTTGATGAGTTCCCTTAACATATCTCCAACTGTTATTGATTGGTTTCGTAGTTATCTACACGGGCGCCGGCAACGTGTACGTATAGGAGACTCTTTCTCTGAGTGGAGCTTTACGTCTGCTGGTGTTCCTCAGGGCGGCGTGCTTTCTCCCTTATTATTCGCCATTTTTATTAATTCTATTACTCATAATCTAACTTCCACCTACCACTTGTATGCTGATGATCTTCAAATTTATACGCAAGAGAGATTTGATAACTTGAACGATGCTATCCGCAAGATCAATATTGATTTAGATCGTATAGTGAACTGGAGTTCGTCATTTGGTTTGAATGTTAATCCTAAGAAGACTCAGTGTATAATAATTGGCAGCCCTTACTTTGTGTCCAGGATTGATTTCGGGCAGTTGTCGAAAATTACTTTGGACGGGACAGTGATTCCATTTACAGATACGGTGAAAAACCTAGGACTTTTATTTGACAAATCTTTATCCTGGAGACCACAAGTTGCAGAAGTTAGTAGACGAATGTTTGCTTCAGCTGGGGCGCTGCGGCGCTTACGTAACTTCTTACCAACTGCCACCAAAATTACTCTTGCACAATCCCTACTTCTACCTATACTCGATTATGCAGATGTGTGCTATCCAGACCTTACAGTTGAGCTTCTTAATAAGCTAGAACGTCTCCAAAATTTCGCCATAAGGTTCATATTCGGACTGCGTAAATATGACCATGTCTCTCACTATCGTCAAAAGTTGAATTGGTTGACCATTCGCCGACGCAGAGACCTACACATATTATCCCTTCTCTTTTCTGTGCTGTTCAATCCATTGTCACCCAGATATCTCAAGGAGAATTTTAAGTTTCTTTCCTCTACTCACAATCTTCCCCTTCGTTCGTCTGACAATCTCCGCCTTTACATACCGCCTAACTTTTCTCAATTTTACAGCCAATCTTTTACCCTGCGAGCTATTCATTTATGGAATTCCTTACCTGAGAATGTTAGGCGCGCCCAAACGCTGGAGTCTTTCAAATCTCTAGCTGCGAAGTTCTTTTTGTCTGATGAACAGAAATCTACTTGATATGTTGCTTTCTTATCATTGTATGTTTGTTTATTTTATGTAACTTTATTATCATATTTATATTTCTATTAATATTATTAAATTTATTTGTAACGCGCACAGCCTACCTACATTATTGTCATCATTGCTTCTTCCAATATAGGTTGCCTGGAAGAAATCGCTGTTAAGCGATAAGGCCGCCTATTGTGCAATAGTTTTAATATTTGTATGTTACTCGTTATTTATTTCTGTTGTGTGTTGTACAATAAAGTGTTTTTATCTTATCTTATCTAAAAAATAAACCAGCCGTGTACAGGTACAAAATTCATCTAAATTATAAGTTTATTTAGAAGCTATAATTCTGTAAAAAGCTTTGTTAAATTGTGAATTATTAATCTTATTATACCTAAATGGAAAAAAATCTGTTACAAAGCAGATACCACAATACCCAGAGCTAAGACAAGACAGTATAGAATAGATAATTTTTCATCGTAATTCTAGTGAAACTCGAACCCGGGACGTCCGAGGCGGCGACGACATGAAACCGGGGCGTATGGAGACAGAGCAACTTTCAAGTGCTACAGTTGACGCGAGTATGCGTCTAAACACTTAAATGAGAATGCAAATTAAAGTGCTATATTCTTCATAATTAAACGTCTAAGAATTCGGTCGTGGCACACCATAGAGTTGGGGTATAGTTTATTCTGAATATGTGGGGTCATATATTATGAATTTCTAATAATACGCACACACATCTACGTGCGGACGGAAGCTAATACTATAATAATTATATTAAAGTGCTAATAAAAACGTACCTTCACGCTACCTTCAGCAACGAACGTAAGTATCCGTTTGCCTATCACGACAAAATAAACAGTTTTTGGAGGTATCATGAACTAAATAAGTACAGGTAAGGAAACGGAACTTAGCCGATTCGCAGCTGCTTTTAATTAGCCTAATTACACACGATATACTACGATAACGAATATATAAACATAAAATATAATTATAATTGGATAGGCGGTTAGATAATGACGGAATAAAAGAATGGTGATTAAAAAAAAATTGTAGCGAGTTAGACACATACAATATGTAATGAGCGAACCTTTCAGATGAATAACAATATATATGTAGACTTATAAAACATAAAAGCGTCTCACCAACTAAGGTGTACTTGATGAGGCACGGATGGCAGAGGCTGGTGATGGGCTGCCAGTGCTCGTTGGTGACGACGTCCGCCAGCTCGTCGGCGCGGCTCGTTAGGAACAGCGCGAACTCCCTGAAGCTCACGTCGTGCCCCAGCTCCAGGGATTCGTTGGACGGGTTAGCACGGAACGCCTTTATTATCCTCCTTCCGACTCGGTCCTGTTAATGAAACATATCAGTCTTAATGTTATATCTCGATATCACATACCTTTGCTTCATATACTTTACAAGAAAAGAAGTGTCATTGTCTATCACTGGATTTGATATATGAAAAACTATATTTTTCATTTTTAAACTCAAAAATAAGAGGAGATCTTTCTTTTTTCTTGCGTACCGCCTATTCCCTTCCGTTTTTCGAGTCTCTCAAGTTCGTCGTACTCCGCAGGTTGGTATGCGGGATATGCAACTGGCTTAATTAAAGTTCAGCTCCATGCGGCTGCGTTCGACGGCATGAAGAACCCTCGCAATTAGCTACTGAAATCCTTATGGGCGTACCTTATGACGTCAGCCGAAATTAGGATATGTGTTTAAGCAACCATGCTTATAATTCGTAATAGTTCGTCGAGCTATTGTGTCGTGCTGTCGATATGTAATTTGTCGAACTTTGTCAATTTAACGATTGTTCACAAAACATCATACTATTAGGTATTTGAAGAAAAGAAAATTTGGAATTGGAATCTATGACATCTTGTGAATGAAAATAACAGGGGCGCAGGCGCACTGATTAAATACACGTACAAAACCATTATTGTTGAAAACCGCCAAACATTATGATTAAACAAACAATATATGTAGTTTACACAACATAATTCATTATGTACAACTCTGAAAATCATTAGCATCAGACATCATTAAAATTATAATAATGATCAAGTTATAATGTTTTTTTGATATTTGCATTCACAGTGTAACAAATAACAAGCTTTCAGATCATATGTATTATTATCTACAATCGCACAGAGCATTCAATATGACATCCAATGACCTAGTGGTATTATTAAAGAATACCAATATAAAAAAAAATGCATTCACAACAGTATAATATCTACCTATTTACAAATTGATCAATAATACTCTTTCTAGTTCTTTTTCTATTTTTCCATATAGTATGCAATTGCGTAATAAAATTGTGCAGTCACACTGATTTAAAATACTGATTAATATAATTTAATAGATACTTAATTAAAATTAGAATTCTGATTTTTGTTACATAAAATTAACTATATTTTATTTTCTGAATTTTAATTGTCTTCATAATAAAAAAATAATTATGTTTATCAAGTGTTTAATAAGTAAGATTTTTATAGATAAATTGCTACTCATTTTATGTTGGTAAGACATAATTGTTTGCAGGATTATGGAGCAAGCAAAGAAGGACGTTCAATTCTGACCTGTCAACATCGGGTAATGCAATCATTGTTTATAGTGAAGTAATATATCGCCAGAATAGCATTTTTTTGTTATTTATAATTAACTATATTTTAGCCTTTAAATACCGGTCCGATTCATGGTCAATGAGTAATCCAAACGTCGTCGCTTCTCATTCAATGAAAAAACTATTGTTTTGTGTTGATGCCAGACCATTCATGTTTATAAGTATAATGTTAATAGAAGCATCCTTGTTTATTTTTATGACAGCTAATGCGGACATGATTTCCTTTTTTCTGGAATCTCCGTAGCCGTGCCGATTTCAAGGTGTCGCCATCTCTGAGGTCCCTTAACTTTTCTATATTGTCTCGGGTCTGGGTGATGTGGTACCTTCGTTGTCTCAGATACTCCATAATACGGCGGCTTTAGCTACTCATCTTGGAATCTGAGCAATGTTTGTGATGTTGTCTAATATGTAATGATATTGCCTCGGGAACATACCCTGGATTCTATAATTGTGAGTACATACTCACAAACATGCGTTTCCATTGTGAATACATAATTAGTAGAGAATCTATTGATGTCACATTATAAAATCTTAGTAGCCAGAATACCTTATTAAGGAGAAGAATCAAAACGCGGCATGTTCGCCGACAATTGTTAATTATTGTTTTTAGTTAGATTTGATCGGTCCAATTGATTTCAACTTAAGAACACAGCACAAATATATATGGACTGGATTAATTAAAATACTTCTTTCCATTTAAGATGCTAAATCAGGATTTCTATTTGATTTTTTTGCAACAAAACCTCAAAATCTTTATCTTATCATTACCGAGTTGCCTGATTGTAAAAGTAATTGATATTAATAACAATGTTTTACCGACACATTTGTAACTTAAATAAGTCAGTGACATCAATACACATCAACATTAAAAATGCATTATTCATTCATTCATCACTTCATTCATGCATTTGACAGGTCAATACATGTATGGAGAGTGAACATTCTTCTTTGATTATTTGCAAGTATGTACCTATATAATTTTTGTTACCATAATCAGAAAAATAACATTAAGTCCGTACCTGAAAATATTTAGCGCTCGGTGTGTCCCCCTCTAATTTGTTTCTATACGCCGACAGCAGCCTTTCAAAAGGGTTCCTAACAATTAACATTTTTTGGAAATTATCCAACATGTAACTCCTTTGATCTTTGGGCACACTGCTGAGGTTCCTGAACATGCCCGGGGAGTGTGCCAGGTGTGCCGGTATAGAAAGCACATCTGTGTCATTCCACTTGCCGGTCAGTATCATCAATATTCTCTTCCAGTTTGTACATGCCACCTGTTAAATTTTTTTATATTATAATATATATATATATATAGTTTTTTTTTTCTATTTTTCCATATAGTATGCAATTGCGTAATAAAATTTTGTTTGCGTAATAAAATATTATATATTGTAACTGCATTTCATCAACTTTATGGCACCCACAGCCAAGCAAACTGTTTATTGCTATTAATGACCTACTGAAAATTTATTTATTTAATAAGGATATTGTTATCACCATCCCCTTTCCAACACAAAAGTCATCAAATTTTCCCATGGTGGAGACTCAAATTTGAGTTAATTAAGATTCAATTAAATCTATCCCCATTATCGCAAAGCATTTACCTTAATTATCATCATAATCAGCAAATTTATGTCCCCACTGCAAGAGCTCAGGCCTTCCTTACGTATGGTTAAAGAGGATGGGCCATGACCCTCCATTCTGGCTCAATGTGATTTGGAGGGTATTAACAACTGAAAATGCCGAAACCAACAGCTTAACATGCCTTCCGTAGAATGGAGTAGCTAGAGATATTTTTTGGTCACCCATCCCGTAACCGACATTTGCGAAAGTTGCTTAACAACAACGATTGCGGGCCGTGGCACTTATCCACTACGCCACTGAGGTAGTTAATTAGCTCTTATTACCTCAAGCCATTACTAAAACTCATTTTAGCTTTTGTATACGAATTAAAAGAGCAAGAAATATATTAAGGGTAGCGATTCCCTGTACCAAATTATTGAATACGTTTGATTAACGAGAAATACTTACTTTAGGTACATAACAGTATAGGAATCTGTGACTTTCATCAATTAAAATGTGCTCCAGTTGGTTATCAGGTATATCTTCCAAACTGTATTTCAAATTTAAACGATTACATACTTCTTGAATACGTTCTTGTCTTGCCAAGTTCAAGGACTGGGTCAACTCTAACGAATGTTCCGTAGTCAAGTTATTATCAATAACATCACTTACTTGACCGTTAACACAAAACAAAAAGCTTAGGATACACGATATAAAGCATTTATAAAGCTTCATATTTCGTTGCAATCATTACACACTTTAATAAAAACAAAAAACAAAACTTTCTTTACGACTCAAACTTTTATAAGTAGGACAAGAAGCGGAACAGCTTCGACGCCTATTATTTATAACCTAAAAAAAATATTTATTTATCCTTTTATTTTAGATGTTCGTATATTTGCACTGTATACACTTTTAATTAATAAATGTTAATTTTTAAAAACTTATTCTTAACACACAACCCAATCAACCATCACCACCGACATTGACGGTTTAACTAAAAAAAAAACTAAAATCATAGACTTAAAGATGTTAACGGTGTTGCCAACGATTAAGCGTGTTATTCACCCACCAGAAAAAACTTTGAAATCTTCAATGAAATAAGAAAGATACACAACAGACACAGATGAAGACCAAAAGAGTTGAGAACATGATTTTTAATTTCCATAATAAACCTCCGAACAGAGTACCCTCTACTGTGTACTGTGCGAGATGGATCATAAGTGTTGCTTACAATATGACTACCCTTGCATCAAATAAAAAAATATATATATAAAAAATAAAAGTAATATTTAATATTTAAACAGTTAACCGATTAGTTGAGTAATTCTACTCATTGAAAATATGTTTTTTTTTTCACAAGAAAAACCACTAGTCACTAAGAGCAATATTTAGCTACTAAGAGCGGCTGGAAATCAAAATTATAAGTGGAATATTCACTAGGATGGCAACTCTGTTCAAGCAAAAGCGAAAACTCTATTCTACCATGTAAATTTTTTGTATGTTTAAAAAAAAGCGACTACGAAAATGGACCATAGACTAAAATAAAAAGATTTTTAAATTTAATAAAAAGCTCAAAAATGCTCTGCCAGCTATAGAATAAGTTTTAAAGGTTATTAGATATGTATACATTAGCAAATACAGCCTCCGATAAATTTTCGACACATAAGTATATAGACAAACTAAAATCAACTAAAGGTTTATAAAATACACCAACAGAAATCGAGCAATTGTAGAGGCAGAATCATATTGTTTAAAAACTTTATGACATGCGTAAATAAAAAAATACGTTTTTAATAGAACATTGGTTCCCGAAATCAAACTAGATGCTGCTACGGTACTTTCTTGATTTTTCCAGGACAACCCTTCCGGTTTTATTTCATTATCCTATAAAAGTAAATTAATTTTCAAAACTCAATAAGCAGCTCATATTCTATTTGTACTTTTCATATTTAAAACTAATTTACTTTTAAACATGACAGAAAACCGAAAGGGTTGTCATGGAGTCATGGAGAAATCAAAAACGTACCGTAGCGACATCTAGTTTGATTTTGGGAATTAATTTTTTTTTTAATACTTCCTCATTAAAAAACTTTAATGTATATTTTTCCACAACATTAAATGATTTTATTAATTATGAAAAGTTTACTAAAACATGTAAGTTGGTATTAGTTTTTATTAGAAATTTAGAATTAAATACACGGATCGACTGTTTGATAGACCATTTATTCAATGACAAGATATCATAGATTAGTACAAAGAGTACCTAATCTCTAACATACCCCCTAAATCACAGATCCAACGTAACTTAAAATAACATTATATTAACAAAATATAATATAAAACCTTACAAACTATGACAAGCTGCCTAGGCAAGTAAATTGTCTGCTGTGAGGATATATTCCAGTGATATGGAACCACTGGCGACACAGTCTCTAACAAAATGAATCCTCAGCTCTATGTGCTTAGTGCGCTTATGATGAAATGGATTATAAGCCAACTTAATCGCACCTTGGCTATCCACGTAAATCTTCACACATAGACTGTCATCACTTGGAATGAGGCTACTCACCAATTTTCTTAAGTAAACTGCTTCCTTCGCAGATTCGCTTAGTGCAATGTACTCCGATTCCGTTGATGAAAGCGCCACGCATCTTTGTTTTTTTGCACTCCCAAGATATTGTATTTCCACCAACTTTAAATATGTATCCTGTAAAGGATTTCCTATCCTTGACATCCCCGGCCCAATCTGCATCAGAGTACCCTGTAATGTTGGTAATTTTATTACTCGGATGTTTTCTAGAGTTTCTTTTCTTTACTACCCTTCAGATAACGAAATATCCGCTTAACCGCCTTTACATGTGTCAACCCATATTTAGCATTATACTGGCTAAGTGTACTCACTGCTACAGCTATATCCGGTCGTGTGTTGGGAGCCAAGTAGTTTAGTGCACCGACCATAGCTTGGTAAGGTATATGAATAGCATTGCCCACCACCGCCGAAGCTAGAGCCGAGTGAACATCCAACTCAAGTGGTGTACTCACCGGTTTACAGTCATGCATGCCAAATTCACTTAAAATTGCGTCAATATACTTGGTCTGATCCAGTGTGATCGTAGACTCTTCACGTCCAAGACGCATGTCTAGACACTGTTTTGCCGATCCAAGGTCCTTAATTTTAAAGAAAAGTTTCAGATCTTTTAACAAAGTACTTTTTGTTTGCTCTTTTTTAATAAAAATTACCAAATCGTCAACATATATAGCTATCGCGATAAATTCCTCCGAATTTATTGAATTTTTCGTGTAAATACAATTATCAAAATCTTGACGTTTGAAATTCAATGTCAATAACACGTCGTTGATCTTTATATTCCAACTCCTTGATGCTTGTTTCAGGCCATAAATAGCTCTTTTCAGTAAACAAACTTTTTGTTCTTCTCCTTGTTTTATGCAACCATCTGGCTGTCGCATATAAACTCTTTCATTTAAATCACCATTGAGAAACATCCATTGAGATATGCAAATCCAGGGCTGCAGCAAGGCTTAACAAAAAACGCAAACTCGATCTTCTCACCACCGATGAAAAGGTTTCGAAATAATCGATTCCTTCTGATTGAGTGAAACCTTTTGCAACGAGTCTTGCTTTGTAAATTGTTACTCCTTCTGCATCCTGTTTGTATTTAAATACCCATTTATTACCGTCGACCTTCGCTCTTGGTGGCTTATCTACCAGCTCCCATCCTTGATTTTCCCGCATAGAGTTGTTCTTTCTTGATTGCTTCTTCCCAGAGATCAGCATCTTCTCGACTACGAGCTTCACCAATAGTCAACGGTTCCTTCTCTTTAACAACTAGATGTGCAAAATCAGGGTTTAAATTTCTTTCACTTCTCAGCGAATATGTTCCGTTCCAATTACCTCAACTTCAGCTTCATGGTCTGATGTAACAGCTAAGTTGTTCTCTTGACCTGAACTATCTGGTTCTGGTTGTACTACTTCAGTTTCCGTCAACCTATCCTGTATTTCCACTGTATCTTCGAAAGCTTCTACTTCTTCTAGATCTGCTCTTCTAGTCGTTTTAGGCTCACAGAATTCCTATACTACTATGTTTTCTTCTTTCTGTCTTTTAGGCTTTAGAACATTGACTGTAGAATTTTCAATACTTTACTTTTCTCTGATATTGCCTCGTTCTTCGCTTCGATTTCCTTCGTTTCCTCCAAAAATACTACGTCCCTCGATTTGATAAAATGACTCGGAATATTTGGATCAGAAAAACGATAGCCTTTTGTTTCGTCACAGTATCCTACGAAAATGTATTATTTTCCTTTGTAGTCCCATTTCTTTTGAAGTTCTTTTGGAATATGTACAAACTCACGTGAACCAAACGCTTTAAATTTATTCACATCTACGTCATTACCAGACCAAAGTTTCTCTGGAATAGCTCCACCGTTAGTGGAGTTCCACTGTGTGGAAGGTGATTTTTCGTATACACAGCAGTATGACAAGCTTCTGCCCAATACTTTGTATTCAGACCTGAATCCGCTAACATGCTTCTTGCCATTTCCACTACTGTACGATTAGCCCTTTCTGCCACCCCGTTCTGTTGTGGTGTATACGGCACGCTCAACTGGTGTTTTATTTCTTTGCTTTATAGATAAGCATTAAACTCTGCATTGACAAACTCTTTACTATTGTCTGTCCTAACAATTTTAATTTTCTTGCCTGAGTAGGTCTCTGCCTCATTCACAAACATTTTGAACCTGTCAAGAACATCAGTCTTTGACTTCAAAAAATAAATAAACATTTTTCTTGTGCAATCATCAACGACAATCAAAAAGTACGAATGACCCCCATATGATTTGTTTTCCATAGGACCGCAGAGATCCTTATGCACAAGTCCCAACTTCTCAGTAGCTCGCACCGCCTCGTGATTCTTGTCAAAAGGAATCCTATGCATTTTTCCTTTAATGCACGATTCACAAGACTCCAACTTGTCCATTTCCCTGAGGAACTTTAAACCAGGTACACGTTTCATGTCCTGAAAGTTCACATGTCCTAATCTACGATGCCACAACTTCACTGCTGTCTTCTCAACATGAACTGACAAGGCGCTATCTACAACTGGCACACAGCTGTCTAACTTGTAGATCCCAACTACCTTGCTCGCAGTTACCACAGATGTTCATGAGACACGACAACCCTGGTCATTATAAATATTACACCCAGTCGACCCAAACACAACAACATTACCTTTTTCGACTACTTTTGAAACAGATAATAAATTAGCACATAGATCTTTCACAAGTGCTTGTAATAGCTTAGACTGAATAAATAATTTTGATTTGATTTGATATTTTGTTTTTGTTGTTTTTATAGTAGTTGTATGAATGACTAAGTAATTCCTATTTGCTGTTTTTGTAAATGTAATATATCTAAGAATGTGGTAATACCGTGGGCAATACCCCTTTAAAAAAGGATTCGTTGAAAATATTCATTGGGGTCTACGCATATTTTTACGTATTCCAATCCTTAATTTTCAAAGTTTTTACCTCTTTGAAAGTGATGATGCAATAGGTAGAGGGTTCGCCCGTTAGTAGTTTTTGTAATAAGTGTTGACATTGGTCAATAGGGCCCGCATGCATAGTGTGAGTGCGCCTCCTGAAAATAAGCATTCCGCATGAGGGCACTACCGATTAATGTAAATGAGCTTGTCTTGTACTGAATTGGTAAACTGATGAGAGCCAATTACCGTAATGAAAATAAACACCGAAATCACCGGACTCCGATTGCGGACCCTATCGAAAAAAGGGAATGTGCTAGCAGTAGTGGATAAACCAATGACAGAACATAATCGTCTACTGAAAATAAGCACAGAAATCGGTGCACTCCGCGTATGAACCATATAGACTAATGTAAATGAGCTGGCAGTGGTGGATAAACTAACAACAGGCAGTGTTCGCCTACTGAAAATAGGCATAGAAATTGTCCGCACTCCGCATGTGGACCAATGAAAATGAGTTTGCACTAGTCGATAAACTTTGAGACTCTTAAAGATTCGTCATGTCTGTCTGTCTGTGTCTGTGTCCCAGTATGTCATAGTCACTTTATTGCGAAACTATTAGCATGTTTTTTGTCTGTTTTGGGGTCAGGCTTAAGACTTACATATTGAGACTTTGAGTAAATGCCATATATTATACGCTTTATGATTTTTTCGTTTCATTATTAAAAAATATTTTATTAGGGACTTTTATTGTTTTAATTTAATACATAGGGACAATACATTTTTAATAGAATATTCTTTAGTGCCCTTCATCGAATGATAAACAAAACGTGACTGTTAAGATCCAGGCGATGCTCGAAAACGAACTTTATAATTCCACCATAGATAATATATAAATACCACTGAGCCGCGGGCTTGAGGTCATGTGTGGTATCGTGACGTCACACTCCTGAGGTGAGCGAAATAGTTCTAGCGAGCGCAACTTCAAAGTACCATAACTTTTTTAATTATGTAAATATTTAAGAAATTTTTTCATAGTATTTTTGATTAAGCTTATTCTTTTATTATAAATGGAAAAAAAACTAAACTTCCATAAAGACTCCGGTAGAGTAGTAATCCGAAGACGGTGGAGAGGAGAGTCACACACACATTTAAAGTGACTGCTATGAATAAAATGCAGCATGCTTGTTTATTTATACTTATCATTTATAATACTTAGGTAAATAAAACTAGATATCAAAATGTATTATAATATCATCTTAGATTTAATTAAGATTATATTTATGTTTCATTTTTCGTAATTTTCTCAGGTATATTGTTCTGTAACAAAAGAAAAATTTATTAAAAAAAACCATTTATTTTCTTAAAATCATATACACTGACAAAGTCTAACACTTGTATCTACGTCGAGAGAAAGAATGAGGAAGCATTTAAAAAATAATAAAGAAACTACAAAATTGTATGTCACTAGATGGCAGCACTTGAGAAAATGTAATGTGCGTGTTTATAGTCGAGAGAAGAAATTACTTGAGAAAACGTGATTGATAACTTACGCAAATATTTTTAACCAATAGAAGAGAATTTGAAGAACTGTGCATTTTTATGTATACCTACTAGCTTCGTACGCATTAATTATATTGTATGTCAACCCCATATCACGTAGGTGAAGAAAATTTTAAAATCGGTCTAGTAATATCGGAACCTTTTCATTTTTTGATTCAAACAAACAATAAAATCTTAACTCGTTATTATATATATGTTTAACATAAATATTATTTTACCTCTTGTGGGCATGCAAATGTCAATATTATATAATAATCAAAGACTTCTAAAAGTCTTTGTTAATACTAGTTATATATATTATTACGAGTTAGGGTTCATGATAAAAATTAACGCCAATTATTGTTCATTCGACATTACTCCAACAATGCTACAATTAAATCCTCTATAATAATAGAATAATAATATCTTTAGATTTTCCGACTACCAAGTCCAACGCTGTACCCCGTATTATTAAACTGTAGCGTGATAGTAAACTGTATATGTATGTATTATTACCCTTAGATGTTGTATGTAGCAAACTTGGTGGTATTGATGTATTAAAGCAAATGCTTCTTCGGCGACCTCTAGTTGACGTTGCTGCCAGGCGAGTACCGCTAGACAGGCCCACAATGTCTCGTCTTCTACTGTTCGACACAGCTGTAGAAATATAGAATACAGATGCTGTATTGGTTGTGGATTCTGTTTTTTCTGATGCCAAAACTTTAGCTGTCGTAAGAATTTAAAACGGAAATACACAAAACACACAGTGTCTTCTGCGGCCAACAGCAGCTACATATTTAAAAAAAATGTTGCGCACCTGTAAAGCAGGCTGCCACATATTAGCAGCTACATGCTTGAGCAGTTTTTCAGGAAAGACAGCAACTGATACATGCAATATCGAGCCATTGCCTCGACACACTCTTGCAACGCCTTCTTCAACGCAAACCAAAGTAGGATTACGGCCTAAATCGCTGAAAAATGAAACTTATCAGTATTTTTTTTTTTGTAACACTCCTCCGGATAAAGCTGCCTTACAAACCTTATCTCCTTATTCACAGTGGTGATGGTTAACCAATCTGGTTGAGTAGCTGCCTTAGGACAACACCAAACAACCAAGGAATTGGCTCGTAAGCCCACCAGTAATTCAGTTTCAGCACTCCAACAAATACTGAGGATTTGGGAACCTGATAAAATGTACTAAAAAGTAAAGCTATTTGGGTCATACACAAAAGTTGAAAAAAAAACTGTTCTCGAGTAAAAAAACGATTTAGTTATAATTATGTTACATCAACACTTGGTTATTTATTTATTACAACCCTTATATTTACTTTTCCGTCTATGAAATAACGGTGTTTAGTATTACAGTTATTATTTTCTTGCATTTATTTTTATAAACTTCCCTTCCTGTAGACTGTTCAAAACAGAATCCAAAACTTCAAGAGGATAATAAAAATATTTACGGACTATATTTTCAATAAATTATGGAACAGGATGATTAACCTTCATATAAAGAATAATTTAATAAGATCTTTGTATAAATACGTGCTAAATTATTGAAATTAAATGAATAAACATCTTGTTCTCAATTTGTTAGACTACTCCTGTAGACGTGTAAACTGGGTAATAATCTGCATGTAACGGAGTGTAAATCAATTTCGTTTTTCATGTGTTGGCAGTATTGAGTCCTGTGTCAGTTGTCGGTAGCCATTACAGTACCGTCGTATTAAAGTATCGAAAAAATACATTTTGATGTGGATACACAGATTTTCATTAGTTTTTAGCGCCTCTTTCCTACATCGTATGTAACAATGTGAGTATAATAATAAAAATGGAATGATTCTATTGTCATTGTCAATTTTGGGGAGTAGTATGTGAATACAATATCGTTAAAATTCTAACCTTAAAAAAAATTTTGCTATCTTACGTTAACCACCTGAACGTCCCTTCTGTAGAAATATTTTCTGTAGATATAGTAGCTACAGAAGAGTTCTTGTCTACAGAAAAGTAAACGAAAGAGCACACACTACGTCTACAGAAAAGTGAGAGTCTACAGGAATCTTATTATGATTTATTAATATACATTTTTGCTAGTTTCACATATTTGCTACAAATTATATTTATATTTAATTTACATATTTTAAAAATAAAATATAGTTGGGATTATTTTAAATCATCTTGCATAATAAAATACATGAATCGCAACAATTACTTACAAAATATTAATGATACCTATATTTTTTAGATGCCACGAAAAAGTAGGTCTACATCTCAGATATCTGAAGAAGAAAAGATAAGAAGAAGGCGCGAGCAGAAAAAATTAAGTATACGACGTGTTAGAGCTCGAATGACTCAAACAGACTAAGAAGAAAGAAGAAGAAAAGATAGAGAAAGGTATCAGAAGAAAAAAGAACAAGGACTCCTTAAAACTATCGCAGACTTTACTCCGAGAGAACAAAGACAAATAAGGAAACAGTGGAGAGAAAAAGGCAAGAAGAGACGAGAAAAGCAAAGACAACACGATACTTTGCATTATTTTATTGAAACAAATACTCCACCTTCAACTCCAACACTATCACGTGCAAGTGGTGGTAGTTACATATCACAACGTAATAGATACCTTCTTAGGGATGAGAATATTTATTTGAAGAAAAAAATATGTGAATTAGAATCTAAACTAGCCAAGTATAGAATGCGATGTTTCAGAGTAAGAAAAAAGATAGGCAGAGAAAAGGAAAATAAAAGAAAGCCTAACAAGTCTCTGGTAGTTAAAGAGACAAAAAAAGCGGTTCGTGACTTTCTTTTGCAAGATGAAAATAGTAGGTCTACATCAGGAAAAAAAGAAACAATTACACGAAATAAAATAAAAAAACAAATACGATTTTTAAATGACTCACTAATAAACCTTCACAAGGCTTTTGTAATGAAAACTGGAATGAAAATATCTTACGAAACATTTCGCAGATATCGGCCATTTTGGATTTTATTTCCTAGAGTTGAAAGTAGGAATACATGTTTATGTATTATACATACGAACACAAACTATCTTGTTCAAGCACTTCATTATGCGAAAGTCATTCCTTTTAAAAGCGCGACTGATCTAGTTAAGTCTCTATGCTGCAATAAAATTTTAAACGTTCGTTGTTTGGAAAGAAAGTGTCCTCTATGTAAAGAAAATATTATTACTTCTAATAATTTTGATGATGAGGATTCCATTACGTATGAAAGATGGGTTACAAAAGATGTAACTGTTGTCATTAAAGGTATACCGAAAAAAATTAAAAAAACAATAAAAGAAAAAGTGCAATCAACTAAAAAAAGACTTCTAGATAATTTAAATTCAACATTACCAACATTCATGAAACATACTGCTTATATGATACATCAAATGAATACAATTCATGACATAAAGAAACAAATTTCACCTGCAGACGGTCTACTTCATATAGACTTTTCGGAAAACTACACTTGTAAATAGTCAGGAAATCCAATCTGCTCATTTTGGTGGATCGAAACCTCAAATATCGTTGCATACATCAGTATATTACAGTACACATTCGGAACCTCCAAATAATTTTCTACAATCCACTTCATTTTGTACGGTTTCGGAAAATCTCAGACACGACCCCGTTTTGATTTGTGTTCATTTGAAAGCACTGATAGCAAAAATTAAAGAACTATCACCTTATTTAAAACACTTACATATTCTAAGTGATGGTCCCTCAACACAATACCGAAATAAATCCATGTTCAATTTAGTTGCTACCTATCTAAGCAAGGAGTTTGGAGTGGATACAATCACATGGCATTTCAGTGAAAGAGGCCACGGTAAAGGAGCACCCGACGGTGTAGGTGGGTGCATAAAACGACTTTGTGATATTCATGTGGCAAGAGGCAACGATATTTCAAATTTGGAAGGCTTAATGTCTTGTTTGTTTGCAAACTGTAAAGGCATTGAAGTGTATAGAATCAACGAATTACTTATTCCTGATGTAGAAGAAATTTTAAATAAAAGTGTTATACGACCTTTCAAAGGTACTCGTGATATCCATCAGTTAACATGGAGTTACATAGAACCGAGAGTAATACACGTAAGACGTTTAAGTTGCCAGATTTGTGCCACACATGTGAAATGCCCTCATTATGGATTAGGGATAATAGATGTCAATTATAAACCCATGGACAACTATAAATTACCTAGTGAGCCAGAAGGTTTAAATACTCCCGATACTCCAGAAGCACCAAATACTCCTGAAGAGCCTTTAAATACCCCTGAAAATTCAACTGTGTCAATGTCACCGGGCTTTAGTGATAGGTTAACACCCGAAGTCACAACTGATGCAATTCAACAAAATGTGAGGCCTACCAAAAGACTTCGACCGCGTCTAGATCTTTTGGAAGACTCTGATTCGTCTTTAGAAGTGTTTCCCAAACGAAAACGGTTTTCTGTCGCAATGTGGCAAGATTCCGATGATGATTCCATATTTTAGTATTAGTTCTACAGATGGATATGTATAATCTGTAGACATGCTGTGATGATTTTTTTTAAGGGTTTAGTTGCATGTTTTTGTTTTTGATTATTTATGATTATGGAAAGTAACTAATTCTGATTAATATAAAATAAATGTCTAATATAATTGTTAAATTTAAAATATAAAAAAATATTTTTTTGTTATTTTCTGTTGACTATTTAATCTATCCTGTAGACAGGAAATAAATGAAAAAGTGATTTATCTGTTAAAATAATGAAGACTGATCTCTGATTATAATTTTGTAAAACTTTTAATGCTTGTCATTCAATAAATACCAACTAACGAATCGATATGTGCACTTTTGTTTTCTTTTCTTTTTTGATAACTGATTTTGTGTATGACCCATTTATTCTTATAAATTATACAGAGTTGATTGTAAAACACCAAAAAATTAAATATGTAAATAATTAATTATTGGATAGTACACAAAAGAAACTGGTGGTGGACTGCGTGTGGACATTTAATCGACAAACGCATTAGCCAGTCCTAGGATGGGTGACCAAAAAATAATTATCATTTCAAGCTCCTTCGTGTTTTGGAAGAGACGTGGAGCCGTTGGTACCAGTTGTATCTAGAGTCGTTAACAGCCACAAATCCACATTGGCCACGCGTGGCGTTACAGCCAGTTCTCCCTATTAGATTCGATTCAATTCCATCGATAGCAGAGGCTATTCCCTCAGCATCAATAGTACTCACCTAATTTAGAAAACTTTGGCTTATTTTCTTTCACGGTGACTACGTATAAATCTCTATTATAGTCTAGTAATGCCATCTGTCGTTCATTAATGGGACCAGTCTGACTTAAAGCGATAGTTGACACGGTCATTTTATGGGTTAGTTTAGTAATTGCATTATCAGCAGAACTGCGTACAATCAGGCCAGTCGGTAAGTCAAAAACTTGTATCGCTGCAAACAAAACCAAATGAGTACAATTGAAAATATTGCTCCTCAAGTATTTGAAAATAATGGGTTTTAGTGTCAAATAATGGGTAGTACTTTTCCGATCAGTTTGGTCAATGGCTGCTAAAGAATCCGGTCCTAAAGATATAGCAGCTCTGCCCAATGTTTCAGGCCGAGTTCCACAGCGTGGGCTAGCAAGTAGTCTCCCCATATAACTGTATATTGATGTGCCAGCTCTCTCCACTATACACAGACATCTGCAAGGTGGCCTTCGATTAATATTCTGACATTCTCAATTAATATTCTAAGATAAAATATTAAAACTAAATTTATTTAAAGTATGTTTACATATTACCTTTCTGAGAGCAGTATCATACTAATTGTTCCTTCTTTCAAATCAAAAGTTACCGGTGTGTTCCATGAACTGAGCTTGTGTATGAAGCACTGCTTCACAGTGGCGATCACGAGATGGTTGAAGCCGAGGGCGATTTGTATGACTCTATCTGGGTAGTCTAGCTGATCACTTTGATCACTGACGATATCCTTTATGGAAATCACTTTTCGACCGATTTGGTTGCATGCAAAATTTTTCCAGGTGTATTCTCTAAATAAAACAGAAATAATTTGGTTAAACCAATGTACAGAAACATTACTGCGACAGACTAATAAACTTAAATATATGTAGATCTATGAAATTGCAAGTAGATCTAAACTAGATTATCGTACTGTCCTCTTGTTTCTTAATGTTATCAGTACATTTTTGGATACGATATATTTTATACGACACAATGTACCTATCAATAATATGTGCAAACAGCACATGCCCATTAGCACAAGCAGCTGCTATCTGCGTCCCATCGGATGACCATGCCACGCTGTAGATGCTACCCGTCGATGGTCTATCCAAGCAATGCGACCACTAAAAATCATAAGTAGTACTTATTAACAATCGTTATTATGTAATTTGCCGTTCCTCGAGTTCCCCTCGATTCAGTGCTATAGTTATATTTGCTAAGTTATTTTATTTTGATTATTAATAATAAATATAAAATAATCACCCCATTAGCACTGCAAAGTCTTATCAGATTATAACTGCCGATCACAAAGAGGTCTCCAGCAGGAGACCAACTTACACTCGTTATAGCTTGTTCGTGTTTTATGCTTACTGAAATCTGCTGACCGAAAGTATCCCAAATCTATAAAAATATTTTATTTTAGTACTTGATTTGCCTTATGATAAGAGGAGCGGTATTAATCAATGGTTGTTGATTAGTTAAGTATTTGAGTTATGCGCTATTTATATATTTTTAAGTTATACTCAAATTTCAATATATCTAAAAATCTGCAAATTTTCGCTTATTTCAAAGAATACTTAAACATATATCTCAATATCGTTAAACAAGTAGTATAATATAAATTTTTCAAACAACCTTTGATATGATAGAATTTGGTATTAAACCGTTACCTTTATAAAACCATCTTCAGAACCAGAAATAATTAAGTTATTATTAGCATTCCAGGCTGTACAGATAATGAGACCTTCGTGTGCCTTCCACTAAAAAAAAAACTTTATTAATTAGCAAATACAATACTAGTATTATTCGTATAAGTACCTCATAATATCAACTGAATCGAAAGATTTTTCCTATTGTTTTTTACTGAAGTTTTACCAAAGTAATAAAAAAATAACAAAGCGACATTTCATTTGTCAGTACTTTATTGATTTTAATGAAGTTGAGTTATTATATTAGAATTTGAAAGATATAAATAAATACCAAAATATTTATGAAATTCTCCTGACGCGCGTTATTAAAAATATATATTATTATTAAAAATATGTCGTTTCGATTGTTTATAAAATTTTATTATAGCACGAGTAGGTACATACAGACCTTTGTTATTTTATTGCTTGAATTCAACTGCTTTAAAATCAGAAAGTTGTTTTTAGTGTGCAATATGGCACTACTGTCCGGGCTCCAAACTGCACTGTAGCATGGAACATCGGTCTGTACAATCGTGGATCGGAGGAGACCATTCCTAGACCAAACCTTTACAAAACCATCTTCACCGGCTATATAAAAGACAGTCCAAATGTATATTGTCTGTGTTCGAGAATTAGGTACTATTATTTAAAAAGTACTCAATTGTGACCCCTATACATACCTGTTAGTAGACCAGCACCATCAGGACTCCACTGTGCCGTTAGACATGCACCTTGATGAGCATTCACAATTTTTTCTATACGTCCATTGTGATTTACTATGCTAAATCTAGAAAGATGTTTATCATAAAGTACACATTCTTTTTCTTTTCATATACCTAATACGAATTAGTTATTTTACACTTACTTCCCATCAGCAGATGATACCAAAATGACGTCATGTTGATGTTTACTAGTACCTACATTTAATTTAGGAAAAAGGTGCATGCCGGTTGGATAGAAGTCGTCAGAAAATGTAGTCACGACCATGCACTCGCTGTTTACCAGATTCCACTTCATTAGTTTATGATCATCCCTTTAATGAATGAAACTTTAGACATTATTAGAGAATAAGCACATCAAGTAACATTTTATACTTGGTGTGCTTATTCTCTAAATAATTAACACAGATAAATAAAATTGACTGCATTCAGCTGATTGAGAGTAAACGCACAAGTAGTTTGGTTTTACATTATCATGAATTAATAAGACTTTTTTTTGGTTGATTGAAATTTAATCGTTTTAAAGTTTTAATGATAACTCTCATGTATTATATTTTGTGACGAATGAGTTGAGCTAGGAACTGTTCTTACAGATATTTAGATATCAAAGGCACTCACCCACAAGAAAATACATCTTCAGTATTATTCCAACTGACGCAAACGACGACACCGACATGTTTTGGTTCTTTAAAGGATGATATTTTAAGTTTCATTGTAAATTAGATGATTAAAATACTCGCTACTTCTCCAAAGAACCGCAAGTTTATAGAATTACAAATATCTTATCGTGAAGATCAACCTTCTAACACGTTATTGTTGTTTGGTTTTGTGAAAATGTTACCATGGAAACCGTCAAACGAAAACAAATTTTATCATATTACCTAGGCGTTTTTGCGTTTCATATAATAAAATTCGTCTATTGATAAAGATACGGTATATACCACATATAAATTACTTAGATTTTGACAGGGTGGAAATTTTCACCTCATCTGTTATTTGAGAAAGTTTTTGTTTGATAATAATTTTGAACCGGGTTGCTTTTAAATCAGGGGACATCAGTGTAACCTATGTAACATAATGTGCCATGCATATTTTTTATACGTAATTTTTCTATATATGCGTAATTGAATTATTCCCTCCCCCCCCCCCCAAATAATCGACAAACGATTTCGCACAACGACTGCTAGAATTAACTTAATAGATAAACTCGACATTCTTGGAGAAAAAGGATAATTTCGAAAACCTATTAAAACCCACATAAAAATGTTTATAGAATAAAACAGTTTTTTATTCTTAATATGTTTACGGTTTACTAAAAATCGTTTTCATTTTACAAGTAAAGTGTAAAACAGTACATTTACCTCACATTAAACTTTTGTTAATTCCTTATATTTATTTGAGTCTTAACAAGTGCCTTAATCAAAGTTTCATGGTTGTATCTATTGTAAATGAGGAACTTCCATACAAACTTTTAACGCCCATTCAGCCCCATCAACCCGTTTTTTTTTTGCGATAAAAGGATGCCTTAACCAAAGTCAAATCTCACTCTATACCAAATTTTAATGATAAAGATAATTTGCATTTATAGTACTATTGAAGTAGAAATAAGTAGTAGAGATGTTAACATTTTCTCCAGAGAAATTCCAAAAATCTATTATTACAGAATCTATGTATCAGATTTGTTTACGGCTTACGGCAAGTACGACCACATATACGAATTTAGGCGTAAACTTGAGTGGCTCCCTAGTCGATTACGTCACGAAGTACATACATATACTTACTCTCGTTTACAAGGTTCTTTATGATCCATGTATCTAAAGGAGTGTTTTCACATCCTTGGGGCAAACCACAGTCGTGATCTACGATCTGAGTCTGATAATGTGCTGGAGATTCCTTTTAGTTATTACCACGAGTCGTCAACTGTTAAAGCTGCCCGGCTGGTAGCCATCTTCAAATCGAAATTCAATAAAAATTTCCTAACGAAATCTTAGTATTTGATGTTTTTTTGTAGTTCTATATGTTAGCATGTGTATATATTATTTATTTATTAATTCTATGGATATATTTATGTTTATAATTTATATTTACAATGAATATGTGTATATAAATATTTTCATATTTATAAATTTACCCTTGGCAAAACACCTCCGCTCTCTTAACATATTCTGATAATTAAGGTTGTCTGGAAGAGATCGCTTTTAGAGATAATACTGCCTTTGCCCATTTGTAACATAATATTCTCTGTAAATTGTTATTATTATGTGTTCAATAAAGTGTTTATCTATCTATTTTCTGTATCAATGTAGCATTGGTAATGTAAAATTGAACAAATATAATTTTAAATTCATTTTTATATCTGAAATATAATCGGAACGCATTTCATTATATAAATACTATAAAGAGGAAAGATTTGATTGTTTGTTTGTATCGACTATATTACATAATTTATATTCTATTTCATAATTCTTTCACCTGCGGGTAGCTAAATGGTATAGGTAAGTATGATATAGGGCATTATTTGTGCGTGCGAAGCCGCAGGAAAACAGCTACTCATAAATAATTTGATTGACATTGACGCCAGAAACTCTATTAATAGTCGAGCATGCCTGCCTTATATCTTAGATTATGTAATCTTATACCTATAAAAAGCTTTATCAAAATTATTGCCTTATTCTTGGCGTTTGAGGCAATCCAGAAGCCATATTATTTTTCATCATACAGAGAGTGTCATATGCATGTATATTGAAAGACTAGCTGAGCTCGCTACTTCGTCCGCGTGGAATAGAGACTTTCGGCAGCATATTCGGCAGCAATTTTTGAATTCCGTACCCAAAGGATAAAACAACAATCCTATTACTGAGACTTGACTGTCTGTCAGTCTGTATCACACGAACCGTGAAAATTAGACAGTTTAATTTTTCACAAATGATGTATTTCAGTAGCCGTTTCAACAATAATAGAATAAAATTAATATTTAAGGGGTCTCCCATATAACAAACGTGATTTTTCGCTGTTATTACCATACGGCTCTATGTCACGAACCGTGATAGTAAGACAATAAAGATGTATTCAAAAGAATAATAGTTCCCGAAATCAAACTAGATGTCGCTATGGTACGTTCTTGATTTCTCCATGACAACCCTTTCGGTTTTCTTTCATGTTTAAAAGTAAATTAGTTTTCAAAACTCAATAAAAAACTCATATTCTACTTGTACTTTTTCGTATTTTTATTGATATCTAAGTTTCGAACTTTTCAAATTTCAGTTTTTTAATATGTTAGTTAAAAGGAACAGAAATGACTGTGTTTGGTCCATTCGTTTCTTGCAAAAATCAACTTTTGCTAGAGTCGCCATCTAGTGGAGCTGATTGAGATTTTCACAGATGATGTAGTTCTGTTGCCGCTATAACAGCAAACAATAAAAAAACAGAATAAAATAAATATTTAAGGGGGCATACAACAAACATGTTTTTTGTTCGTTATCGGTACGGAACCGTTCGTGCACGAGTTGACTCGCACTTGGCCGGTTTTATAGGCTAATTATTTTGCAAATAAAACACACTTATTCATTAAAAAAGCATTAACAGTATTTCACGTTATTTAAGCACATAAAATCAAAATTGATGTTTAACTATGTTGTGGCCTACAACAACATTACGCCAGCAGAGGGCTCTAGTATCGCTGTGGATGCACATCGGCGCTCTCTGGCGGGACGAGGATGCAAGCATCACGGCGGTTAACAACTTTTTTATATAGATACAAAATTGTCTGCACACTTCATCCATACCTTTGTAAAGGAAACAAAATAAATTGATTGTCACACAAACAAAATGGTCCTTCGTCGTTAAAAAGAAGGTCGAAAAGGATAACTGAACGATAAGGATCTAGCTTCTTCGGTTTCCGCCTTCTAACCAGCGCACATAGAAAAATAAACCTGTGGACTTTTGGTAAAGGTTGAAGACACGTGAGTCCGTTCCTTTTTTTTTATCCCTCTCATTCTTTCCAAATTATCCCGTGCATTTAAAAATTAATAATAAAAATAAAAACATTAATTATTTTTCTAATAATATTACATGTCTTAAACATAAATTCTTTAAAATTGGATAACAGATCAGCCGATATAAAACAATCTTCTGCGCGCATTCATATCATATACCTTGGTTAATAATTAATTAAACCACTAGTTGCATTTTATAACATAATTGATATCCGAACGTCTATTATTCGATTAACAAGCCCTTTAATCTTATTTATTTCAATTTTTATTAGAGTAATGTAGGTACATCGAAAAAAAAAAAATATATAAAAGGTTACTTATTATATTTGTTTGTAAGAAAACTTTATAATGGAGAAACTTAAAGAATATAATAAAAAGCGAAGTATTATGAAAGGTAAATTAACTAAATTTGGTAATTATTTAGGTGGAATAAAAATGTGCAACATGTTAAGTGAAGTGCAAATAGCTGAATTGGAGTGTCGTTTTAACAAAATAGATTCATTATATAGTGATTTTGATGCATTGCAGACGGAAATTGAGATGTTGTGTGAGTCGCCAGAGCCTCAGTTTGATGAAAGGCAGCAGTTTGAAGACCTGTACTTTGAACTGCTGGCCCAGGCACGTACGCTGCTTAAGTCCTCGCGTAGGCAGTCTCTTCAGGATGGATCTGTGGCCGGGGACAGTACTTCAAACGCCGAGAAATGCACTTCAGATTTTGTGAGGTTACCTAAGATTGACCTTCCTAATTTTGACGGCGACTATCAGCACTGGCTCGAGTTCAGAGATACGTATTTATCATTGATTCACAATAATACTAACATCACTGATGTAAATAAATTTCATTATTTACGTGCCGCTTTAAAAGGTAATGCAGCTATAATTATTCAAAGTTTAGATTTTCGTTCAGATAATTATAAAATAGCATGGCAATTATTGTCAGAAAGATATGATAATGAACGTATGTTAGTAAATAATCATGTTAATGCCTTATTTTCTGTCGAACCAATTCAAAAGGAATCTGCACAATCATTGCGTCATTTGGTTGATATAACTAATAAAAATTTACGTTGTTTATCTGCCCTTGGTCAGCCAACAGATCACTGGGACACGTTAGTAATCTATATTATGGCAAAAAAGTTGGATTATCGCACTCAACGTCAATGGGAAGAGTATAAAAATTCTATTTCTGGGTGTCCCAATCTAGAACAATTTATAAAGTTTTTAAATAATA